AAGAAAGGAGGTAATTAAGATTTAAGGTCAAATGAGATCATATGGGTGGGGCCTTGATCAATGAGGATTAGTGTCCTAAAGGAAGAGACACACTAGAGTTTTTTCTCATTCTCTCTCTCTCACTCGCTCTCTTTCTTTTTTTCTCTCTCTCCACTCTCCCTCTCTCTCTCTCCACCCATCCCTCTATTTCCTAGACATCAGAGGAAAGGTCACGCAAGCACACAGTGAGAAGGTGGCAGTCTACACGCTTTTACCAGAACCTAAAGATGCTGGAACCTTGATTCTGGACTTCCCAGCCTCCAGAACTGTGAACGAATATATTTCTGTTGTTTAGGCCACCCAGTCTATGGTATTTTGTTATGGCAGCCCAAACAAACTAATATACATGGTGTTCAATTTTTTTCTATAATTTGGTTGTTATTATCTTCTCTAGACTAATCTATCACTCTGCCATGCTGATATTGTCTGTCCTTTCACATCTAACTCCCTCCATTTCACAGAATCGCCATGCTACCTCTAGGCCATTGTACATGAGAGTTTGGTGTGTCTGCAAAGCTTGTAACCTCCTTATGGGTTTGGCTTACTCCTACTCTTTCTCCCAATTTGAACTCAGATGGGTTAGGCAACTTTCTCACATACCTGCATGATATCTAATGATCACATCTACCATAAAAGTCATCAAGCTATATAGCAATTATCCATTTCCTTATCTGTTTCCTGGAACAGATTCTCAGGAAAGGGGCCAATTTTAAACCCCTGAATCCCTCTCTGCCTATTAGAAACATATTGAATGTCCAAGTAAATTAATTATAATTTTAGTTTAGAGAGCACTAGACCTAGACCAGACTACTGTCTCTCTCTATGATTCCTCAGCTGTTACTCTGAGGAGATTATCTCTATTTCTCTTTGTACAAATGTCTATCTGTCAAATGATGATAATGATACTAGACTTGTAGATTGTCGAAAGAATTAATTATAAATTGGTTTATAATTATGGACAGTACATTAAAAATGATCCATAAAAGCTGGTTTATTCCAAATAAATTCTACCCCCTCTTCAAGGGCCAATTCCATCTTACATTTGCAATGAAGCCTGTATAAAGATCCAGTAGCAGAATTGATTGTTTCTTCCCTTCTCCTTTTGCAGACTTTATTTATAGCTCGGTTTACAGTATTTATCAGAATTTTCTTAACATTAGCATGACTTATACATGTGTCTGCTACTTCTTCCCTGGTGATAAGCCTTGGTGGCCAGGGACCAGGTATTTTTCCATCCTGTTGCCTTTAGATGCTTAGAGTGCCTCACACGTAGAGGGCACTACTGGCATGTGCTCAATGAGAGAAAGACAATAATAAAATAGGTTCTGTATGTTGTGCTATATTGTCTCCAACAGACTTCAGAAAGTTGTAAGGCAACTTTCAATTCACCAATCATTTTTCAAATGTCAACTAGAGCTGCTTAATCTGCTTCTGATCTTCCCACTTCCTAGTTATTTTGCCTTTAATGATTGGGGTTGACCTATAGGCTATGAATCCTTGCTAAGGGTTCACTTTTGACTATAAATTGGACTTGAACTCAAATATGCGATTGAATTTGTCAATCTAGTCAGCAAGCAAATGAGAAAAAGCACATCCTTCTTCTCCCTTCTCCAAGCTTCTGGTCTCCCTCTAGACCCTCCTATTGTTAGAACCTAATAAGGAGGCAGCTTGTAAAGGAGAAATGCTATCTGTGGAGTTCCCAACACAGCATCATGAGGCAGAACATAAAGAAAGGTGTTAGCTGAAAGACAACTGCCTATTAACTAGCACACCGAGGATTAATGAAATTGAATGAATCTTTTATATTACAAAATCTCGAAGCTGGTTTAGTTTTAATTCGATGCTTTTAATCCACGAACCAGTGAAGCTTTCATTGGTGTTGTACCTGGGTGAGGGGATGTTTAACAATTGTCAATTTTGATATCAAGCAGATAGGACTTTTGTTTCTAAAGAATAACATATGATTTCCAAAATAGGTTTCAGAATTTGTCTTTAAAGAAATTACTTTAAAAGAGGAAACCAGGAACAAGGAAAGGGTTCTGGAAAGCAAAATTAAATCCTGGAGAGATTAGATTTCTACTGTTTGATGTCAAAAGTGGTGTGAATTCCAGCATAAGTGCCATTCCAGGATGAAAATGCTTCTTATGCCAGAAAATTGACTGGTGCTAAAGTTTCTCTAATTAGAACAGTACTGACTGCTGGGGTACAGTCCTAACAGCGAAGCATGTTAGTTAGATAAATGAATTACTAGCACTATTCTGCTGACTCCCAGATGCAATGTTCAAGGTGGCCTCGGCTAGTAAACAGGAGTGGAAAACGTATCCTCACACATTTGCTTCATGCCTGAAAAACAAGCAATTTTGGAGAAGACATCTGGACACAAAATTTGAACAGTGCTCAGAGCCCATCAAAACATGGATTTCATGGCTTGGCGTCTAGCTGCTAAGCAACGTATTTCTTACATCAAAACAGAGTTGTAAAAGAAGATCTTGGTGCCAACTCTGGTTATTTCTCATTGAAAAAAAGTAATAACCATGAAAATTTTCCTTCAGGCCTTAAGAGATCTGATTTCCACAGGATAGAAGAGTTCAGATCATTTCTCCTCTAGCTCACTTGTTTTCCACATTCTGAAGTATTAGGTAGAGATTAACTTTATGTTTTGAAGTACTCTCAAGTGAGTGTTGCATCACAGTCTTGTAACAGTTTTCTCAGCTCCCTAATTAATAGCAATCTTTTAAATTAGGCGCATATATTCATAATACACATGCTTTCCAAATATTTGGTTCTCATCAGTTTGATGTATATACCAGAGGGCCAGCCACAAACTAAATGAGAACTGCTTTACAAAAAGTGAGCTTCTGCTTGGCGAAGAGGCCAGGCAGGGCCCATGTAAAATACTTTCCATGTGTAGACTAGTTCAAAAAATAGATGTTATTATAATACTTATTAAAATTAAGATAGACAATTTATTTTTCTTGTTTATATATATTTAAAATATACTGATATGTTTCAGAGCTTAGAAAATAAGAACTGTTATCTACCCCAAAATAAAACAAATTCAGAAAAAGCAAGAGATAGATCATTTAGAATCACTGACTAGTTTTCCTTTTTTTTCTGGGAACCAATTAGGAAAATTATAGGGCAGGAAGTAAAGCAATGGAGTCTTCTATTAATTTTTATTTATCTTAAAAATTATAGAATGTGGGTTTGAATTTAAAAATGAAAGTGAACTATTAAAATGACCTACTCTTTGGAGCAGTAGGCCGACAAAAGTATTTTTTCCTCTGTCTTTAGAGAACTTCCATAAACTCTCTGAAGCTTCTTTCTTGGCAGCTTCAAGTGATGTAGCAAAGCAAGAAATCCAGACATGGAAAGTTGCTCACAAAAAAAAAAAAAGCCACTTGGAAACCAAATAAGAAAGCAATAGTTTTATGGGAGAACTTCACTTCATACTGAAGGCTACAAAATAAATGTTCTTCCATTTCAAAGATTTATGTTGTGCAGAGAAATTAAAGGATGGTTTCCAGATCACTTAATGAAGAGAAAGATTTTCCACTGTGCATAGATAGCACTGTGCCTTGCCTGGTTCTCCCTAAGCTGCTGCCCTCCAGCATCCTTGTTTACATGTGGTTTACATTTATGTCCACCCCATGAACCGCAAGTGTTTCTCCACTCCAAATTTATCAACACTTTTCCTTCATACCAGGGGTGCCTTAGTAAAAAAAGGAGACAGGTAGTGGAGCTGGGTGAGTCTGAAACCTCCCACAAGCTGCCGGTGAGTTTCCTGTCCTTGCTTAGGTTGCTCTATTTCGTATTATGATTTTGTATAATATTTCAAAGTTTCTCTTCCTTCATCTACCCTGGATGGATCTCAGACATTTAAAGAATGAGCTTGAAAAATCGATTCTTATTGGGGCGAGTCTGAGAGGCCTGACTTAAAACTGCCAATCAGAGCAGAGCCGTGACAACTGAGGCTCAGAGCTGTGAGCAAGCCAGGCTCAAAACCAGCCCAGCCTTTGTGTCTGAATGTGGCCTAATGATTGTGCAAATAAATATTGTGTTCTTCTCAGAACTTCTGGGCCTGTTAAGATCAGTGCCTCTCCCTTCCTGTAACCATCTTCCTTAAAAGAGGAAATCCTGGGAAAACATTCTTCCTCATGTCTTGACACTTTGCCCAGATCTTTCCACACTGGGGCTTCAGAAACATTCATCCAGAACCCAAAAATGTAAGCTGGATGTGACCTTTCACTGGCAGCTGCAGAGGAGCAGGCAGTGCTTGCGGTGCACTGGGCAACTAGGCAAAGGACTCACTAAAAAACCTCACGAGGCTGGGTTTCTGTATCCAGCCACCCTCCTGCATTCCTTCCTTCTCAGGAAGGAGATTCCACCAGGATTGGATATGTAAGAACTTCATTAGGAAGCCAGATTGAAAAGAGTCCTTTGGGGAAGTCTTCCTTCTATTTAATGTAGAAGAGGTTTCACTAAGAAGGTATGGACATTTACCATGGAAGGTCATGGAGAAAAGTGATGACAATGGATGAGCCAGGACGCCCTTTCCAAAGTTTTATTTTGGATTCACTGGAAAGCAGAAGATCCTTAATTCCAAAGACAAACTCTCTTTCTCCTTTTCTCGTTTAGCTATTTACACTTCTCCGAACATCCTAGTCTCTTATCATATGTATGCATCTACTACACCATGTCTCGGACTAGAGACCTTTCCGCCTGATTGACCGATTGATTGTCTAAGCAGGTCTGGTTCTTTAAGGCAGAGATAGCTGCCGGGGCCACCCTTAATACAGGAGCAGAGTTAGAGTCTGGCTGGGTTGCCTGCAAGAAACAGTTAAACATATATATCCACAGTGGCAGGTGGTTTGTAGGGGAAGCAAGGCTGTCAGTAGGACTGTGCCTTTGACCTATCTCCGTACACCAGTGCTTGGACCACCCACCCAGGCTGGACCTACCTCCCGAGTAAACAGAATGGCCGCATCGTAGTGCTCCTCATGGTCATCCCCCAGCTGGTTGTGCTGGTGCTGCCACTTGCAAAAGTTCTTGAGGGTGGTGGCCGCGTTCTTGCTCACCTCCAGGGTCTTGTCCTTGTCGCCCAGCACCACCACCTTCACCACGGCCAGGCGGATGTGGTTCTCAATGCTGGCATGGCTATACAGCTTGTTGGCGATGGATGCCAGGGTCAGCAGGTAATGCTGCAGGCCCCGGCCATACATCTTCGCCATGGACGCGTCAGCCACCAGGAGTAGCTCCACCTGGCGGGCCCGGGAGATGGAGCGGCGCCGCCGCCGCCACCACGTCTGTGGGCCCTGGCCCCCATCTGACGAGGGAGCCGACTGGTCCAGGAACCGCGGGGCCAGCCTCCAGCGTCGGTCCAGGCTGCTCTGCGGCTGGGGGCGCTCACGCGGCCCTGGCGGAGACGCGGGGGTCTCGCAGCTGGTGCGCGGCGGCAGGGCCTCGAAGCTGAAGCCCTCGCGGGTGTAGGCGTGCAGGATCCGCGCGGACCCGTCTCCGTACACGCGCCCGGCCTCTGCCTCCGCCCAGGACCCGCGCAGCAGCGGCTTCAGGGTGTAGCGCGCGTGCTTGACCGCGAAGAAGCCGTCGAGACCACCGCAGAGGTCAAAGACAGCCAGGGAGCGGGGGCTGCCGTCCACCGTGCCCCTGTAGAAGCAGTGACCCGGGTGGCGCCGGGTTGCGTTCGGCCCGCCTCCTGCGGGCACGAAGCCAGCGGCGCCCACCGAGCCATCCCGCTCCAGGTCCAGGAGGAACCTCCGGCCGCCCGCGTAGACGAGATAGCCCACCTTGCCGCCGCCGG